CGTTCGCCTTGTGTGCCCTTTCCCCCACATGCAGTTTAAAGGGTCCTCACCCCCCCTTTGTGCGATTAACTTTGTAATGGTTTGTGAGAAGGATTCTAAAAAATAAAACAATATTGCATCTTCTATTTAAGATCATACTATTATCAAGTTTCAGCAAGGCAAGACCGTAAAGCTGCTTAAATCACTATTTATAAACTGACAGTTCATCAAACAAGTGTACTATTACTTTACCATAAATGCCATAAAGTAAAACAGTCAACATCATTGACACCACTACAAAAGTCATTACAGAACTAGAGCTGGAAAATATAAATGTATACCAACAAAAAAAAATACCAGAGTGACTATAAACAAGAGTGCAAGGGAATTCGTTGTATGCAATTAAGCAATAATGTAAATGCGGATTATTACAGGTGCCTTAAAACAACATTTAGAAGGCAAACGTTTAAATGCCTTTAGGAATGCATGGTCCTCGCAGTCTAATATAGCCCTTTTCAGGACCTGCCAGTTATAAAAGTCCAAATGCACAGCCTGACACCAACAGAAACCTTTAGAGTCTATTCTAGATGTAGAGATTTCCCAAAAAAGCAATAACAAAAAGGGTAAGGCAGATATTATGAAACATCGGAAACATCCCCATCTCTCGATCTTCCTTCAGTTACCATCACCGACTGTTGACTCTGATCAAAGCAGAAGGTTTTTCTCCCAAAGATGTTTCTTAAATGAAGCACACATGCCATGACTTTACATCTTGTTCTAGCACTGAAATGTGTTGGATGTAGTCATCATTTTGGAAGAGTGCAGCTGGAAACAAACAGCAGCTGGAAAGTAGCGTCCATTAGTAGACAGCGGTAACTTGAAGCATATACAGCATCTAGCCCGACCACAGAGATAATGAACACAGCCTATCACGTCTCGGTGCTCTCTTCTTTTATCTGGTCGCCCTTTATGAGCTCCGTCTGGCGGATTTATCCGAGCTTCCGTAACTCAAAGGAAGCACAGAGCTAAACTTCAAATGGAAACTGGGCCAAACCTCCTTTTTCAGATCTGGAGTATCTGTAAGTAGACAGCAAAGTCAAGTGAATATAAGGACAGGGTGTATGTGCATGTGCGTGTGTGTGTGAGCCCTGGGCAGTGGTATCCGTATTCGATTTTATAGTTAAATCCCACAGTCAGGGTGATTTATGATTCACTCCCTTTGAACTCCAATTTCCTGCTATCTGAAACAGAATAACATAATTATGAGAGTACAGTAGGATTTCACCGATGTGAAACTCAAGCAAAATGAATTTATAGACGGCAGACACGCACGTCGTATAATGATGCTTTACAAGATTAAGGCTACGATACACAGCCAAAAATACACCCTGAAATTCAATGGTTACACTATGAAAAACACACTCCAGTAATCTCTTTAGAGAAATCTCATAGCTCACGGCTATTTGTGTTCATCCCCGGAGATATAGCCTACGTAACCTTGATTTTTCAAAATAACATTTTGCCACCAGCATCCTCGGGGAAAACATCACACTTTCTCAGTATCATATGTACATTTCAGGCAGAATCAGACCATTTAAAGTCATTTAAAAAAACATTTCCGTCACACTTTTAGTCAAAAATATGTAGCCTGGGGATAATATAAAATGCTGATGCTTTATTAATCAGCATGCCAGTCTCAGATTAAGGTAGCCCTGTGGGAAAAGTGCTTTTCACTAATGACTTGTGCTTTTAGTTAAACATGAATACACAGTTGCTGTCAGAAAAACACAAAAGGCAAGCAGCAAGGCTTGTTTTGTGAGTAAGAATCTTGTTTGGTGATAAAATATAAATGTCTTTGATGTTATACATATAAATATGATTAAATATTAAATTATCAATTGAATTATGACACAAGCTGAATTTAGTGATTTAAATACAGCAAGTCTTCTGAAACCAGGCTCAAGGCAGGAACCCGTGATGTGCCTTAATTATAATCAGTAAAATGTTTAAATGTGTTAAGAACCTGACAGGTAACATGTCTTCAAACTCTAAAGAGGACACACAAATGGTAGCTTCACTTTGAGATAATAGACTATTTTTGATGCACTTCAAGCATCTTTGTCTTCCATTGAATAAGTCGGAGGGACATTGGTTAATTATTTTTTTTAAATCAAATTGTAAGGACTTATCAATACAGGCCAGGTCATAACATGTCCCAGGATAGTTGGGAAGTGAAATCTGAGCATATTTCACCTTTACATACCAAATCCATTAATTGAGGACACTTGCAGGTTTCCATTTGCAGTAAAGGGTACGAGAAGAAACTGTCTCCATTGGTGACTCAAACTCTAATGAAAAATACTGATGAGCACACAGAGCACAGCAACAATTAATCAATCCCACAACAAACACACACTCAAACACACAACAAAGGAACAGCAAGAGAAAAGTCTTAATTATTGAATTATTTTTGTTATTTAAAACCGTGCATGTAAATATCTGTATGTAATAAATACATTAATTACATTTCCGAGTCCATTTTTACCCTATCCCTCTGCAAAACTAATAGAAAAAACAAAAGCGTGTTAAACTTTTACTGCATTGGAAATAGCACTTCTTGGAATGGTCTCCTCATCTCCTGAGGCTAAAGGCAATTTCATGCTCCAGCACGACTCAGGGGGACATCAGGACTAAAGGTGACCTCAAGGTTAACGGCCCAAATCTAATAAATATGTTGGAAATCCAGCAGCACAATAACAGCTCCTGGTCAGCCTTTCAACAATCCAATCTCAACGTTTAATTGCGAGAGAAAATCACGATTTTCAGTTTTTCAGCAGATCTCTTCCAATGAACAAAGAGGCTCTTAAAAGAAATATAAGACATGACAAGCACTGTGCACAGGCTAGGTGTTGCTGTGACAGCCAAAGCAGTGTCAGTGTACAGCCTTTTGCCAACCTTATCACATGATTCTAGATGTGACAGACATCAATAATTCAGAAGAACATCACAGTGTTTGCAGCTATTTAAAGATTAAAGGAGTCAAGTACACTTGTGTTTGCTGTTTGAACTAGTATCATCCGCAAACAAGCAACACATTAATACACTTTTGTTTTGTTCAACTGCTAACACATTAAAATAACACATAAAGCACAATGATGGAAGCTGCCACGCAGAGAGCAAAATCTCAGCTCAAGTCTTCAAAACTCTGAACACGTTTTCTGCTTTGCACCCAATTTGCATTTCAACATGGCACTTTTTACAACACACTGCACACTGTTCTCTACACAAGACACAGACATCTGACACAAGTGTTTGACATCTGAAAAACTGCCATTTAAACTGCCTCACTAATGGACGAATGAGTCATCACACGCTCCACCTGGCGGAACAGCTAATTGCTTGATTGTCATCACATCAATCAGGATGCAAGCACCAAAGAGCTCTGGTGATTACCTGTTTTTACGACAACAATAGAAGCCATAGAGGCTAAGATATATGTGTGGTGTAAAAGTAAGCCCTGTTTTCAAAGTCCATGCTGAGCAATCGTAAAAACTGTCACGTCACTTCATCAGGCTAAATGGAGGCAGAGTCTATAAGACGTAAGCAGCTGTGTGTCCTTGTCCGTTTCTCTTTTTTGGTTCAAGTAGGCCTAATCAGTGAAAATCTGCCTCAGAAAAAAACATCATGATGAAACATTGAGAAAATAAAGCCTTGTCATAAAAAGCATTTCATGTTTGATTGATTTCGATTGTACTTGCTGTTCTGTATTTTCTTTGTGTGAAATATAAACTGTTGGAAAGACAACATCCTGTTTGCCAATGGACAAAAGACAAAGCCTTACTTTCATTCTGCATTCATCTCATGGTTTCAAGGCTGCATTTGTAAATCATAGGCCAGGTGCTGGCTCATATGAAAACACTTGATGCCATGTTTAAGTCACATAAAGACAGATTTATTAACAATTATTATGGAAATCATATTCTTACAAAAACATTGACCAAGTCATGGACCAATCCACCAAACTAAGCGAGAGCCACCATAGCTCACAAGCAAGGGCAGCCAAAGCATAAATGTTTAAGACACAGATCTTTTCATTGTTGCTTGTTAGTAGCTCTAAAAGATAAATGTATATTCTAAAATACAAGCTGAATAACAGGCAGTAGCAGGTGGAAGAGCAAGTGTTTGGTCTCACACTAAACAATCTCAACTCAACCAAGAGGCCCAGGGTTCCTGTGACGTCTTCCCCTTTCACTATATTTTGATTTTCTGGCTTGAGTGCATAATATGCCAACATGGTGACCAGCATAAACACCTCAAAGCTTTAACATGATCATTTTGAAAAACTGTGAGTGACAACAAAGGCTACATCCATGTGTGTTGGAGGCTATCCCTAAATCACAGTCTTCGCTGTTTCAGCACCACGGGCATACCAGAGGAAGGTTCACACACACGTTCACACACACACACACGTTCACACACACACACACACACACACACACACACACACACCACACACACACACACACACACACACACACACACACACACACACACACACACACACACACACACACACACACACCAAAACTGCAGATAATCACATCAGACAATGAGTGTTACATCATCCTTATCTGTCAGAAGCTGTCACTCATGTCATCTGGTACATCTGAGGGCTTTGTTCTAACCTAATTTCATGTTTTACAAAAAAGGCCAGCTTTCACAGGCCATACAGTCAACTGAAGCAACCAGGAAGAACATGCGTATTCTAGCAAGAGTCAAGCTACCACAGCATGAAGAACAACCTTTTCAAACTTTCTTGACCCTGTAAAAGTAAAACAAATATGTCTTCAGAGATACTCTCATCCTATCACTTAACATGTGTGTGAGTGGCCTGTGTGTGTGCATGTGTGCGAACCAGTATGCATGTTTTTCTCAGTGTGTGTGTGTTTCTTATCTTAGCTATACATCTGGAGATTATCTTATAAACGAGGGTTATGGCTAATAAAGTAAAAGTGTCTTACATCCTCATCCGAGCTTTTTTTGCGATACTGGATGTAAGGTCTTCCATCGCCGAGTGGCTGAGGGGTCTTCGCCGCGTTTTCCTCGTCTGCAACCTGACCACCGAGCAGGTGACTGGCCTCAGGTGGGTGCGGGAAGGAATTGGCCGTATTTATCTTCCCGGTGAATCTCTGATACAGCGAAGCCATATTATAGGTCCAGTCCAGATAAAAACAACTTACAGCATGTCACAGCCGCATACAGGTCTCGCCTGAATCGTTTTTTTTATTGGTTTTCTGTGCGCTTCGAGTAGAACCGATGGCAGGCAGACAGTTTTCACCTCCGGGATGGAGCAGAAAAGATGGGGTGAAGATACCGAGCTAGTAAAAAAGCATGTATGAATAGTGAGTGACTCACAACGTGATGTGACAGACCAGTATAAAGCTGAATCGTGTGCAGCGATGTCCTTTTAGCTTTGTCCAGGAGCACGGCAGACTGGTGGGTTGAAGGTGTAAATAGTTGCTCTAATCTGTATTCACAACACGCTGTCTTCCCTCTTCAGTTTCCTGATGCCTCCTTACAGCGAGATATCAGGCGGATGCGCTGAGTTTCCGATCAGATTTTCGATTCCAACCAGACTCCGGTCGATTGTCGGCAAAACACAAGAGCAAAAGATAATGTTTCGACACTTTCGGCTGTGTTTTTTGGCAGACCTCACGCAGTAACAGTGTGAAGGACGCAGAGAGCCCGGCGGTGCTCTCCGCAGACGCACTCTGCATGAGAAGTGACCAGCAGAGAGAGAGCCGCGCTACTGTACTGTCACTAATCACTACACAGCTCCGGGTGCTGCTTTACGCACAGACATGCAACGGCACTGCGCGAGTTTGATCCAGATTCTCCTTCATTGAAACCCCGTGATGAAAAATGGTACACGTTTATGATTTTTTTTAAGGGGTTCATAACATTTCCTACCAAATGTTTGTATTTGGTCCCAGGACAAAGCTAGAGTGCCTCTCTGTGGCGTACTTGAATAGGACAGGCTGCCCACACACCTATAGTGCAGGTGTAAGATGACACATACTCCGGTTTTTGCTCATGGTTTCTCAGATGCTTCAGCTCTTACATATTGAGTGAAATCAGAGATCAGTGAAACACATTTTTTTTCTTAAATAACAAGAGAATATGCCCACATGCAGAACACATGTGTCCTGTCATTAGCCTATAAATAAAATGCAAGGAATGTATTTCTGTCTTTCAAGTCTTATTCTTTACTGTAATAAGTCAAACCATGAGTGTCTCTCCCTTTAATGTATGCAGTTTGCCTTCTATCATATATTTTCAGTCAGTCCACATCCACAAGTGTTGTTCAGCTCATACATTATATTTCATGCTCGAAGTGCTCACAGAGGCCCAACGATTTGCAGCTCTCCGGTAAATGCAGAATATTGGCTTATATGTGGTGCAGGGAGGGAAAGGCTCTTGAGTCAAAGTGTTAGAATATCTGCCATCCCCGTCATGAAAGCCATGGGCGAACACCCCTTAGCTTCTCACTGTGACAGCTCAAACTACCACTCCACTGGGGCCGAGCCGAATTTCTGAGAAATAGGTCATCTTCACACGGTCCAACTTCAAAGCAGCAATAAAGCAAGGCTCAAAACAGCCCCTCACATGATGCTGTTGAATAGCAGGGTTCCGCATCTCCCATTAAGTGAAATCAATTTCATTTTGTAATATTTTGCCATGAGCACTCAAGGCACACTTACTACAACAGTAGATATGAGCATTTTTCATATTTGACTTTGAACAAAGAGCAAGATTCAGTTAATTTTTTTTTGACAAATGGCGAGTCATCTCCAGCTCTGAACGAACTGCTAAAGGCTCTTTGATTCATGGCTTGAATTATGTATGTAACCTATTGAATAAGATACATATCTAGATTCCCTCCTATTGATTTCAAGGTCTGGACACTCATTCAAAAACAAGAACAAAGGACGTCGCTTTCTTTCTCTAATTAAAGTCTGTCCCTATCCCTCCTCTTCAGTGTGAACTCATCTTCCTTTCATGTGATGTGATGTGGTGCACTATTTAGAAATGAATTAAATCAGAACTTTGTTGATGCTTTTGCATGCTTTTTAGCAGAGAACATAATGATGTGCTTCCTGCAGTCTCATCTTAGACAGTGGCTGGCCTTGGTCCCCGTCATCATTTGTTTCTGTAGTTCATAAATGCCTTTCCTGGGTGTGCGCACCCCTTGGGGAAATAGGTTTGAGTCACTCCAACCTCTCTGATAGATGTCTTCCAATCTCCCTCACCTTGTTCGGGAAGCTATTGTGTCCTGCCCGGCTGCTAAACGCTCCCCTCAGGACCACGCCGGGAGCCATGGGCTCTGCTTGAATCCCCTATCGCCTCCTCGCAGATCCAGCAGCTGACTGGAGCAACGCCCGCCCCCCTACTCTCACAAACATCACTGCAGTCAAGCTCTGCATTACGAGAGGAAAGAATGTGAATGTAGAGAGGCATGTAATAACAGCTATAAAGAGGATGGTAGCTGCAGCATACCTAATACCTCTGCAGGAAGCTAATGGTGCTGTTGGAGTCAGTGCAAGCCAAAAGTTACTTATGATTTGATATGGGACATTGTAATCATATTTCAAGCTCATACCAGATGCATTTTAATCCAAATGACATAATGCACTTCTGTGCACTTTATGATGCTGATGAGTGATGGCTTTATGTGGCTCAGTAAACTCCCCTGGGTGAGTTTGATTTTGATTTGCTATCTTATTATATAAGTGCTTGAAGGAAGTCATTTTCTTTCGCTTCACTGTTGAAATGAAGCCAAAATACTAGTGCTGACATATTCCACAGGGTGCTGCAACACTCTAGCCTTCAGGATAAATCCCACCACTGCCTAAAACAGTTTGTTAAAGTCTGAAGTGGAATCAAGAAGTCTGAGAAACAAAAATGGAGAGCAAACTGTTGTCCATGTAAAATGAATATAGTAAAAAGTGTTAAATAATTGGGCTTTGGAGGCTTGTTCTTTATTGTTTTAGCTGTAAGCGATGCTATCACACCTAACACATATTCATGCCTCATGTTTAAACCCCAAACATATGTAACACAGAGTTAAGTGGGGTGAAAAGTGTGAGGCTCAGAGTCACACATTATTTATAATACATATAATGTTACAGGCTTATACACACATTTAAGTGTTTGCATGAACTCAAATGCCATCACAGGCTAAGCAGTCTCCATCCGCATGCTACACACTGCAACAAAATTATTCACACATTAATTGGATGGCAGAGCAAACAGGTCAATCAATCAATGGCTGGTGGGAATGCCGTGATATATAATTTCCTCTCAACATCACTCAGCTGAATAAGGAAATTACTGCGCTTCTCTACATGATTGTTACGGAATGGATGTATTTACAGCTAACCATAATCACATGATTTTTCACCATTTTCCCATTTTGTATAAGCCGGACACTAATTTCCCTTGATGCTAAACTGAGCCAAGCACAGCAACAGGATTATTATTTTTTTATCACCCTGCTGCTTGTGTTGGAGGACATGCTCCTGCTTTGTTTACTGGACACACATTTTATCCTGAAGCTACCCTCGAGACATCAATACACTCACATTGATTCATACATTCAGTTAAACTGAGTTGCATCCATCAACTTTGTTCAATTATTAGACCTGTCTCCAAGCAGGAAATATCCTACGCCATAACTCATCCTAACTGTGTCAAACTGTGAATCTCATGCAATGAAGTTTATGGCAAAGATGGGCTACATGTGTGAAGTTAAAGGGACAGTTTTTATTTTTAAGAAACTTTAAGTCAGGTAATGCCCCCCTTATTTGGTGACAACAACAAGCTCATCCATAAAAGACTTAACACCCACTTTCCGTACTTTGCATTAAAAGTCGTACAGATTCTCGGATTAATAACCCATCGACAACTGAACAACCAGATACGACAATTATTGTTTTAGATTCAGTGTTACTTACCCTTTCCGACGATACCATTATCTCCGATGTGCATTGCTGAATAAACGTATACAAACACTGCTAGAAATCGTAGCAAAATACGCTGCTTAAAACTCCAGAACTTCCCTGAAAATCACCACGTTTCAAAGTTTCCAGTGATAGTTTTGCACATTGAAGTTAACACTGCAAAAAGAAACTGCTAATCTGGTGCACATTCGCCCATATATAAACAAATAGTAGGCAAAAAAACCGCGGCTCCAGATTTAAGGTTACAAGAGGCAACTTCCTGTTTATGGGAAATGTAGTTCCAAAACACATGATTGCTCCCCAGATAGCTGATAGATGAAAATAGCAACACCACTGGCTATTTAAACAATTTAAACCCACTCCGCCCCAAACTGCCCTCGTTACACAATGCCGTAAAGTGTGGAATTAGGCCACTATGCACCAAGACACTCTCCAAAAGCGATTTCCAAACTGGTGTTGAAGACATCTTCTAAGAGACTGTGCCTCTTTGGTGTGAAGGATATACACGTAAAATGTAGGATACTTGAAACACTAAATATGGTGTAAATAGCATCTGCCTAAAATGTAATGTGATTGACAATATCCATTGCTTTTGACGTGTGTGTTTGTTGCATGACTCAATTACCATCAGGATATATGTTATATAACAAATAACCATTGCTCCTGGGGGTAGAAACCTCTTCCCCTATCAGTGTTCATCAAAATGTAATTATGTCTGACTGAAAAAAAAAATCCATAAAACTGAGCAGAGAAATACATTATCACTGAATTACACCCAACACTAGGCTCTTTACAACTCGTAGCTTATTATGTGCCACGACACTGTGTTCAATTACTGTGTCCAAATCATATACTTATAATTCTAATATGTCATCTCTCTGAAATCTTCACATTTCACTAAAGCAGTCTCTGAAATCAGTTAATTTGTACTTGATAATATGCTATAGCGACATGCATAAAAACATCCGGTCTCATGTTAATTCCACATAATGTTTGTTTGTGTTTTGTTTCTTAACTTATTTTTGCCTGAGCGGTGTGTACAATTCTACTTTGTCAACTGCTTTCCATGACTGTGACCAACAGAGTATGCTATGGCATGGTAGAACTGCCATATTAGTATATTCTACAGAGAGTAAGTGCTAAATCTTCCAATATATTACGGATGAAGGAAAGCTATGTACTGAGCCCAAATTGAAATTGCACCAGATAAGTCTCTGAGGAAATGGAGTTTAATGCCTGCTGATGTCGTAGAATAGACTTTGGCTACGTTTGAGCGGCAGACTACAGTCAAGGATTGTGACAGCAGCAGAAGATGAGGAGGAGAAGAGGGACATTTTGAGCGTATAAGCTGAACGAGGGAGCGTGACACTGAGAGTTCATCTTCACATGTGTGGTTTTGTGAGAATAGATTGTGTGTGTAGCAAAAGAACGGATGAAAACTGGGTTGGGGTGAACGAAATGAGGGAATTTATGAGTGTGAGACAGGATTTAAAACACCTTTTTTCTCCTGCGTTTTTTTCAATAAGATAATGTTTGCGGGAATTTTAGTGCTACAAATTATACCATAACAGCAAAACATATTCTATACTTCTCTCCTGGCATCAATGCATTTATGTGAAGAGTATATTTAACACTGTTTCTTACAAGTATTTGGAGACAAAGAAAAAAATCATTTTTAACTAACAACAACAAAACATCTAATGATCACTATTGGCTAGTGTTTGTTATCACATTTAACATCACTATAATTGCTTGCGAACAACACAAGTTATCCTAAACTTCTAATGCTCATCGATCTCCCTTGCAGACAATTTTCATGCAAGACAGAGAGCAGCATAAAGCCAGCATTTCACCAAAGCCGAG